CACATGAAAATTCAAATTTTAGTTAGATAGTACATATTATTTTTTGTTTTACTTTTAGGAGATAAAATAAATTATGGAGCACAAATAGGGTGATGATAGCAAGAAAAAGGTGCAATACTAACAACATACAAATGCTATCTCTTTTGTGATTGAACTTTTGATTGAGAATTTGTGATTTTTCATGGAGTAAAAGAGAAATTAATTTTGGAACTTCTTAAAAGTGTTTGATGCTTCTCCTTGAGAAATGGGTAACGGCAGCAGCGACAATTGATGAGGAGATAAAAAAGGAAAGCTAATTATTTATTGGGTTGGGCGGGTAATTAGTTGTAATAGAATAGGTATTTGATGTAATTACTTTTAAAATGGGTAATTACGGGTAATTACTTTTGATTAGATAGGTATATAGGGTAGTTTTTCCTATTATTATTTATTGATGGAAATTTTACCTCCTATAGCAAAGGTATACACCCTATTTATTATAAATCAAAATTATTTTAAAATATTATTTTCTATAACTACCTTTTATATTTTATAGCAAAATAAGTATTTAGGGTATATACTACCCTTGATGAAATAAGGCATGAAATACGCTATTTATGTTTTTCCTCTCTCTTAGACAGTTGGACGTACTTATTTTTAAGGTGATTGCAGTTACTGTATTCATGAATACATGGCGCGTACAGCTGGTCTGAGGTAATTTTAGGCGCTTTTTACTACTGTATTCATGAATACAACAATGCGAATACATGCGCGTACAACTGAACTCCCCTGATTTTAGGCGCTTTTTGTTGTTGTATTCATGAATACATGGCGCGAATACATGTGAATACATGCACGTACAGCTGGACTGCCCTGATTTTAGGCACTTTTTACTACTGTATTCATGAATGCAATGCGAATACATATGAATACAAACACGCGTACATCTGGACTGCCCTGATTTTAGGCGCTTTTTGCTGCTGTATTCATGAATATATATCGCGAATACATGTGAATACATGTGTGTAACAACTCAATAGTAACTATAAGAATTAAGTAATTATGTATATGATAACTATAGGAAATTAATAGCAACTAAACAATAGTGGTTTATCAAAGTTCCTCATTATTAATTGTGAAACGTGGGTAGAACTATCAGACTCCCACACCGAAGAGTAGGTGAAGATGAAAACGGCTGGAACGAATATAAACCGAGGTCCTTCTCTAGAGCAAAACTTACACAGCCACGCAATGCAAGTTATAATTCTGTTTTGGAACTTTTGATACACAGTATAGTAGCATAAGTTCAAATTTCTTTGGCAGCACTGTTTATCTAAATTAGTACAGCATATTTCACACATGATAGTACATCAAATCATACCAAATTATTTTGTAAGCCAGTTTTTGATTTGGTTCAATTTATCTTGAACAGCCATAGTGGATTTGTAATTCAGCTGACTAGGGGTGTACAAACCAAACCGATAACCCGCACCAACCCGAAAACCCGAGTCAACCCGGAAAAAAACCCGATTAGTGGTTTGGTTTGACTTGGTTTGGTATTGGAAAATAAAACCCGACCATAATAGGGTTGGTTTGGTATTAACTAAAAAAAGTCAAACCGAAACCAAACCAACCCGACATTACATGTATACATATTTTATATATTAGATAGATAAAAATATTTATTAGAATCTAAGTTATAAATATTTCTTAATTTTTATTATAATTTCTTTATATAGCATAATATTTTAAATTGGTATTATAGCCCATGTAAATGTTTGTTTTTGTTTGGCGCATAAAAGAATAATTGAGCCCAAACCAAAACCTAATCTTAAAGCAGATAGATTGTCCTATAGGTGTTGTGAAACACACAAACAATTGAAATCATCTTGCCTCTTCTCCAAAGGCAAAAAACCTACGCTCTTCCTTTGCTCAAACAATTGAAATCATCGGTAAAGCTTTCATCGGTAAAGCTCTTTTGCTCTCATTTTACATGTTTTCTTTTAGCTGCATACATATACCTTGCTTTTCCCCAATTAACTAAGATGTGGCAAGCTTGCTTTTACAAAAATGTATGTGGACGACCATAGGTATCAAAAGTATTGTCGAGAAATAAGTGCTTTAAGAGGAAATCCATCTGCAGATGACTGGAAGAATGTGAAAGCTTTTATAAAGTTTCTTAACATTTTCTATCAGACAACTTTAAAATTTCAGGCAGTTTATATGCTACTTCCAACTCTTTCTTCCATGAATTTTTCAATCTTCGAAATGCTATTATAAAGCATACCAAAAGCGATGATCGTACTTTGAATGATATGGCAGGAAGAATGAAAAGTAAGCTTGAGAAATATTGGGGTAAGTTTGAGGATATGAATATGTTATTGCTTGTTGCTGTTGTGTTGGATCCTAGATACAAGATGAAGTATGTGAACTTCATTCTTACTGATGCATTTGGTTCTTTGTTGGGAAGATTGAAGTCCGAAGATGTGGTAAGCATTTTAACTCGCTTGTATAATAACTACAATGATTCTTTTTTTGAGGCTTCTAGTGACAATATTGGAGGCGATACTAGTATGAGTGAAGTTGGTGATTTGTTGCAATCAAAGTGGGAGAAACTTTTGGAAGATGAGGGAAATATTAAAAAAAAATCTGATCTTGAGATATATTTGATGGATGATGTGGTGAAGATCAAGGATTTTAATATCTCGGCATGGTGGAAAGTTTCATCTAGTAAATATCCAATTGTTTCAAAGATTGCAAGGGATGTTCTTTCTATTCCTATTTCTACTGTTGCATCGGAGTTTGCTTTTAGTACAGGTGGTCGAATTTTGGATTCTTATAGGAGTTCTTTATCACCAAAAACAGTGGAAGCACTTATTTGTACTCAACAATGGATACGATCACCTTCCAAGGAATATAAGTTTGAAGACATGTTAGAGGAAGTCCAGAAAATTGAGCAAATTGAAGAAGGTAATAATTTATATTCAATTGTTAATGAGTATAGTTATTTTTTACATTAATTAATATTTAAATATGTTAATTGTTTCTTTCTTTTTTTCCAGAATATGTAGACTCACCTTTGAGGATTGATTAGAGGGATGATTAACTACAATTTGCTTCATGACTATTTTTGGAAGCGAGGTCATTATGCCTTTACAAGTATTTTGGAAACATGCTCCTGTGGTTGTAATATCTACTAAGATGCCCAACTTTTTAGAGTTTAATATATTCTCTTTTTGTTTATCTTTTAGGACTCTTGGGTGTAATGTCTACTCTTAAAAAGTTGGTGATAATTCTTATGTAGAGTGCAATATGATATGCAATTTATATTTTTGGTGATAATTTTCTCATTCTGCCTACTTCCTAATGGCCAGATATTGTTTAAATCTAATTCAATCTTTCTCTTGACTTAGTAGAACTTATATGGAAATGTATGGAGTTGTAGCCTTCAGGAATAGTTCATTGGCTTGTTAATGTTTTATTAGAACACAGTATGTGGGCATATCAAGGAGTAAGGAGTAATTTTTATTAGAACACAGTATGTTTATTGAAAAAAAGACATCTGCATTGTGTAAGGAGTCATGTTTCCTTAACACCTATTGCCATTCATTGTTTGCTACTGTGTTCCCTATTCTTTGATTGAAGAGAGCAAACATATTTCGTTGAAAGACAATGAAACTTCTTGCCCAGATGAACTAAGTCCATTTATTACCATTCCATGCTTGGATCAGGCCATGCCTGATGATGATTATCTTGAGGTTAACCATCAAAGGGATGGAGGTGAACTCCACTGCTTATAGTATATTAAACCTTGAGAAATATGGTGATGGTTGGGGTAGAATTCGTAACAACAGGAGCAGCTGCTTGTGTTCACCATGGTTGTCATTCAAGTAGACCTGTTGTACTCAAGCAACATGTTACAACATGCTCATTCAAGAAAATGCCCCGTATAAGATTGAATCTAACCTCACAAGGTGTTATTGTCATGATCCTTCTTTGGTGTATAATTTTAGACTTTTATATTTGCATGATCCTCCTATTCTTTTTGTACTCCAAGATAGCTGCAGGAATTTTTATTAGAATTTTATGATGGCAGCTATATATAGTTTGGAGCACAAGTTTATCGGAACAAAAAACCCGAAAACCACGAGAAACCCGAGAAACCCGAGAAAACCCGATATTGAAAAACCCGACTTTTGTTGGTTTGGTTTGCTCTATAGATTTAAAAACCCGATATAATTAGTTTGGTTTGGTAATTGCAAAATCCGAACCAACCCGACCTATGTACACCCCTACAGCTGACCTCAGTCAACCTGTTATTCACTGATTATGCACTAACGGGCCACCGAATTCTTATACCTAGTGGATGAATCATGGGCTAAAGCTTACTCAAAACCCCCTATTCATAACTACTAATAGCCTCTTTGGCCGAGCTGCAAAAATTAATTTATTTTAAGAATTTTCTTTTTAAAAAGTAAAAAAAATACTTTTGGTGAGAATCAGTTTGTGTTTGGCTAATTTATTTGAAAAACATTTAGCATCATTTGGTGTTTGACCAAGCTTTTAAAAACTGCTTCTAAGTATATTTTTCTCAAAAGTGCTTTTTTCTGCTTCTCCAAAACTGCTTCTGCTTCTACTCAAAAATACTTTTTTCCCCTAAAAGCTTGGCCAGACACTTCAACTTTGAAAAAACAATATTTTTTTTGAAAAAACAGTACTTTTGGCTTGGAGAAGCTTCGCCAAACAGGCTATAATTATACAACATTTGATAGCGCTGAAGAATCTCTAAAGATAAAGACGCTTGAGAATAGATATTACTCTATAAATATAATACAAGGTGAAAGTAGAGAACATAATTAAACAAAAACAATCTCAAACCAGACAAAGTAAGATTTTGCAATGGATCATAGCTAACGTACAAATCAGATCAGTTAACGCCAGCGGGAAATGAAACAAAAGAAAAACAATAAAATTAAGGGTAAATACTAAGTTGAAAAACCGAGTACCATTATGTCTAATGACTATTTCTCCGCTTTCACATGGCTTAGGAAAACACTTGTGAGAACTGTTTTGGATTCAAAAGATGCCTTCAGAAACTTCAGCGCCTGCAAAGTGATAAGAGTAGGAGTTTATTAAGAAGAACAAATTTCATCAAACAAAAAATGGCATAACAAAAAAAGAAGTAATATTTAATTTAATTGAGTACCTCTTCCACTCCTATATTTACTACTTTCTCCTGCAGTACAGCTGCATCCTTGACATTAAGCTTGTCAAAACCGGTAATACTAGATATGGCGGAAGTGGGCTTAACCACCAAGGCCCCGTTTGGCCATGCATTTTTCCAAATTAAATTTGGAATTTATTTTCAAAATTCTGTTTGGCCATAAATTTTGCTCATACTTTGGCCAAATTTCAAATCCCAAATTTCAAATCCCAAAATCAGCTATTGAGCTAGTTTTGGGCCAAAATCCCAAAATTTGGAAATTATATACATGTTTTTCCAAAATAAAGTTGGAAAATATATTTTGAAAACGTATGTGCAAACACATTTTCATCTTCAGACCAAAGTCCACCCAAATCAGATTTTTCAAAATAAATTTGGGATCTATGGCCAAACGCTAGCCAAATCATCCATCACCATGAAGGTCACCGCATCCTTCACGTAACACCAATTGCTGCCACAGCTTCCTCCACTATGGGTGGAGCAACATACTGGAACTTCGCTGACATACTGTTTCGACAATTCGGACAGACAGCGCTAGGGCCATCGGTAACATAATGGCTGGAGTAGCTGCATTTGGTACTACTACTACTACTACATTTATAAAAAATCTTTTCTACAGTACCGTCATTAAGCAATCGATAAGGAACTGAAGAGATGCCAACTGAAGATCTCGGTTTTAGAAGGATATCCTTCGCTTGCACGTTCGACAGAAGATAGGTTTCATTCAGATTTTCTATGCTGTTGTAGAGATTTGACAAACATCCGTTCATCCCTTTCTCCTTAAGAAGCCTCACAACACTGCCCACTGGCAATGAGAGGATGTGAAAGAGGAAATCAACACATTTCTTTTCAGCCTCCGCAAATACAACTTTTCGAGCCTTAGTGTCAATCAAAAGCTTCATGCTCAATTTGGTTTCAGAATTAGTCGTCATTTTGCTTGGCTGATAATTGCCCAAGTCTTGAATAATTTTCTAACACACTCAGGATTTTCTCTCATGTGTTTTGGCCGCTGAAGACCTATATATGCTTAAATAGTTGCAATTTGCTATCATATTTAATTTCTGACACAGAAGTCTAACAGTTATCAATTGCATTTAGACGAGACGGTACACTAATCAAGAGTCTCTTCATTGATTACTGTTCTGATTTTATCCAAATTAGAAATCCATGCATGCACACTGCATCTGAAGAGTCATATATATCTCAAAACGTTACGACAGTTACTTGCCGAATTGCAATGGAGTTCTCATAATCGCCCCCACCAAACAAAAAGTTAATCGTTTTCTTTCATCTTATGGTTCTAGCATGGATCCATAATTAATGTACTACTTAAAGATATATTAATCGCTTTAGGCACTAATAATAGGGACTTAGAAAATTAACATGGATAAGTGCGTACATATATACTTGCTTATTAGGTAGCTAGTACTGTTAATTAACTTTTGAAAAACAGTGTGTACAATAATACTACATGTTGCAAACTTACAATCTTGGTTGGATTTTAATTTCGGGTGCCACATGCAGTTCTAGGGTACTTCTAGGCTCAATCCCAAAATAATGATTTGGCAAGCTTAGAAACAAACTCCTACGTGTTAAATGAGCTATTGAGGAACGAAGCCAACTCTGTTTCTTTGGATGAACCTATTATCTTTTTTTTCTCTTAGAATTAGTACTTATCGATATCTTTATTGTTACAGCTAGTAGTTATCATTTTGTTCCTAGTATTTATCTCTTTATTTAGATGCATTTATCTTCTAGATTAGGTGATATCATACTTAGTACTCCCTCCGTTTATTTTTACTTGGCATGTATGCTAAAAATAAATTTTCATTTTTACTTGTTACTTTACGCATGTCAAGAGAAGGCAATTTCTTTTTCCTGTTATACCCACAATATTTATTACTCATTTCAAATCATTTTCTCAAATCCAATAAAATATTCGTCAATTAATAAGGGTATCATGTTAAATTATGCACTCCATTTATTATTTCTTAAGGGGCGTGAAAAGTCAAAACGTATATGTTATATGTGCCTCGAATTAATTCCTTGTATTTTTAGGAAACCCATAGTCCCTATAGGTTTAGGAAAACTCATTGTCCTAATAGATTTGGGAAAGGAAAACTTATAGTCCTGGGAAACTTTCATGTTTGGGCCCTTTTGGGATCTATATATAGGGGTTGTAGTTGGGGATTCTAAAGATTGTATTATGCTCTTCTTCTCATTTATAGTGAAAAAATCTCTCTGCTTTTGCCCCGAGGATTAGGCTTAGCCGAACCTCGTTAAATCCTTGTGTTGATTTTTCTTCTCTATTTGCTTTGTGTGTGATTGTGTGCTAGTTAACCCACGATATTCTGTAACAATTGATATCAGAGCAAGGTCCGGGTTTCTACATATAATCTAGGGTTAAGATGTCTTCATCATCTTCAACAAAGTACGAAGTAGAGAAATTTGACGGGGGTTCTAGTTTCAGTCTATGGAAGATTAGGATGAAATCGTCCCTGGTCTTACAAGGGTTATGGAAGGCAATTGATGAGAATTTTCCTAAAGAGATGAAGGAGACAAAGAAGGCAGACCTGAAGGGGAGGGCTTTGAGTGCGATATTCATGAGCGTTACATATAGCGTTCTTCAGGAAATTGCTGAAGAAACTTCTGCAGCAACGACATGGAAGAAGCTGGAAGATCTGTATTCTAAGAAATCGCTAACAAACCGCCTCTACCTGAAAAAGAGGTTATACAATCTCTGTATGAATGAAGGTACACCTGTTAAAACTCACATTGATGAGTTTAATTCAATTATAATGGACTTGAAGAATGTGGATATTAAAATTGAGAGCGAGGATCAGGCCTTGATTGTGTTATATTCTTTACCATCGTCTTATGATACTTTTGCTGATACACTGCTATATGGGAAAGACAACATTTCACTAGAAGATGTTAGTAATGTATTAAAATCTAAAGAGTTGAAAAAGAGCTTTCCAGATAGTAGAATTGAGGGCGAGGATCTTGTGATTAAAGGAAGAACACAACAAAAGGACTTTAACTAGAAAAAGTCAACCGCCAGATCAAAGTCTAGAGCAAGGAAGCAACACTATTATGAGTGCGGGGAGCAAGGTCACTACAAGAGAGATTGTCCTAAGTTGAAGGAGAAAAGAGGGAAGCCGAAAATAGATAATTCGACAAATATTGTTGACACTGGCAATAATTCTGATGATAGTGACTATGTAGGGGAAGTCTGTGCTGTGAGTTCTAGTCATGGGTAGAATTCTTGGGTTCTTGATTCTGGTGCTATTTTCCACATGTGTCCACACAAGAATTGGTTTGCAACCTACAAGCAAATGAGTGGGACTGTCTATATGGGAGATGATAATCCATTACTAGTAGAGGGGGTTGGTAACATCAAATTGAGAATGTTAGACGGAATTATCAGAAACATTGAGTGTTGGCATGTCCCTCGAACAAAGAGAAATTTGATTTCTCTTTCGACTTTGGATGATCAAGGGTATAAATTTTACTCCGAGAATGGAATACCTAAAGTGTGTAAAGGCTCCATGGTACTCATGAAGGGTAAACTATATTCTAAATTGTATCATCTTCAGGCCAGTGTAGTTGAAGGGGAAGCTGTTGTAGCTTCTGGGAAAAGTGATCTAAATCAGTCTCAGTTGTGTCACTGCAACTTGGCCATATGAGTGATAATGGATTGTCTTTGTTGAGTAAGCAGAATTCGTTGAATGGTTACAAAACTCAAGTTTTGAATTTTTGTGAGCATTGTGTGTTTGGTAAACAGACAAGGGTAAAGTTCATCAAGAAGGCCGAGCACAAGACCAGAGACAAGTTAGATTATATACACTCTGACTTGTAGGGTCCAAACAGAGTTCCCTCCAAGAGTGGTGCCAGGTATTTTATGACTTTGATTGATGATTACTCAAGGATGGTGTGGGTGTATTTTTTGAAAAACAAAAGATGGGGCATTTTTGACATTTGTTAAATAGAAGAAGATGGCTGAGAGGCAGACGGAAAGAAAAGTTAAGCATCTTCGAACTGACAATGGGTTGGAATTTTGCAATTCTGAGTTCGATAATTTCTGTAGCAGGGAGGGCATAATGAGACACCGCACTTGTGTCGGAACACCATAACAAAATAGTGTTGCAGAACGTATGAATATAACGCTTTGTGATAGGGCACGAATCATGCTTTCACACTCATGTGTTAGAAAAGATTTTTGGTCTGAAGCAATCAATATAACTTGTTATTTGGTCAACAGATCTCCATCCACAGCTATTGAGTTCAAAACTCCTTTTGAGTTATGATCCGGTTCGCCTGCTGATTATTCAAATTTAAGGATATTTGGTTGTCCTGCTTATGCTCATGTGAGGGATGGAAAACTTGAGCCGAGGGCAAAGAAGTGCATATTTCTAGGGTATGCAACTGGAGTGAAAGGTTATAGGTTGTGGTGCACAGATAAAAAAACTCCAGGTCTAATTATCAGTAGGGATGTAACATTTAATGAATCTGCCTCACTTGACAGTCCGAGGGAGAAGGCAATAGCAGAAACAGATCGTGGTGTCAGTGACCACATAGAGCTAGAAATTGAATCTCCACTAGCTCAGCCCAGTAGTTCTAAAGTAGAGGAAGTGGAGGAGGTACAAAATATTGATCAAGATGATAATCTTGATGCACCTGCACAACGACCCTATAGCATTGCAACAGGCAGAGAGAAGAGATTGATCAATCCACCACAAAGGTTTGCAAACGTAGCTGATGGTAATTTTCTTGGATATGCTAATTTTGTGGAGTTTGCTTTGTCTGTTGCAGAGATCATTGACGTGCTTGATACTAATAGCTATAAAGAAGCTATTTCGAGTCCAGAAGCAGATCAGTGGGTTGTTGCTATGAGTGAAGAGATTGAGTCTCTTCATAAGAATCAGACATGGAAGCTTGTTCCATTGCCAAAGGGACAGAAGGTACTAGGCTGCAAATGGATTTTTCAAAAGAAAAGAGGGAAATCCAGGGGTTGAAGCATCAAAGTACAAGGCAAGATTAGTAGCTAAAGGTTTTACACAGAGGGAGGGGATACATTACAATGAAGTGTTCTCTCCACTGGTAAAGCATAGCTCTATCAGGGTCTTACTGGCTTTGGTGGATCTTCATGACACTAGAGCAGTTAGATGTGAAAACTGCATTCTTACATGGTGAGTTGGATGAGCAGATTTATATAAGTCAACCCGAGGGATTCATTACTCAGGATAAGAAAAATCATGTTTGCTTGCTTAAGAAATCTTTATATGGTCTAAAACAGTCGCCTAGGCAGTGGTATAAAAGATTTGATACATTCATGATTCAAAATGCATTTTTTCGAAGTACATATGATAGTTGTGTGTATTACAAAAAGCTTGAAGGCGGACTAGTGTATATTTGTTGTTATATGTGGATGACATGCTTATTGCTGCTAAAAACATGTCACATATTACCCGATTGAAGAAGCAACTAGGTGATGAGTTTGAGATGAAGGATTTAGGTGTTGCAAAGAAGATATTGGGGATGGAGATTACTCGAGATAGAAGGGTTGGAAAGCTGATGTTGTCCCAATGGTCCTATATTGAGAAGGTCCTCAAGAGATGTAATATGACGGGTGCTAAATCTATGTCTGTTCCTTTTGCTTCCATTTCAAGTTGTCTGCATATATGTCACCAAAAACAGGCGAAGAGATGGAGCAGATGTCTAGTGTTCCATATTCGAGTGTTGTAGGTAGCACGATGTATGCTATGGTTTGCACTCGCCCTGACATTTCACATGCTGTTAGTGTTCTGAGTAGATACATGGCGTGTCCTGGTAAAGAACATTGGCAGGCGGAGAAGTGGATCTTGAGATACTTGAAGGGTACTGCAGATGTAGGCTTGACTTTTTACAAAAACAAGTTGAGTGAATCCTTAGT